GGTGGGAGGTGGGAGGCAGATCTCTGGGAGGCTCGAATGCCAGGTAACGTGTGGCCCGGAAGGAGATGCCATCAGATCTGTGTTTTGGGAAAGTTCTGGTCTGGACGCAGTGCATGAGGTGAGTGAAGAGACACCAGAGGATGGGGCAGGCGTGGAAAGCCGCTGTTGATGGGGAGAGGCAGGAAAAGTGGAGCGAGCATCCTCATCGGAGCCCAGTGCTAGGCGGGAGGAGGCCTGAGAAAAGCGCTCTGGTTCTGGTGACGTTGAAGGCTGCCGGTGGTCTTGGAGGATGGCTGAGTGGGAGCCCAGTGGTGGGTGGGTGGGGTGGAAGGAGGTGGGGAGGGAAGGAGAGGCTCAGTGAAGGAGGCAGTTCAGAATCAAGACCAGGATGGGGCTGTGGGGGCGCCGCATGCCAAGTGGGAAGTGAGCGGGTGAACTAGGATCTGGGTGAGACCACGTACTTAGGAATAGAATAGCCCAGCCCAGGTCAGGCACAAAGGGATTGTGTGGAAAGGCAGAAGGTTCTAGATGACTCGTGACAGGCTTTGGGGCCCAGCTCACAGTTCTCAGCAGAGCCCCGTGAACTGCATGAACATGAATGTGCGGAAGAGAGTCCACACTCAGGTGAGGGCTGGCCCTGCCTGACACACTCAGGTGAGGGCTGGCCCTCCCTGATACGTTTATTTTTGTTTTGGAATTAGGAGCAGAGAAATGAAATGGGAAGAGATTATTGGCAAGAAGAACAGTGGAAGACAGGGCTTGAGGTCTTGGCGTTTGAGCAGTTCTGTAGTCTCACAGGTCCGAGGTTAGTCTGCCAGCTTCAAAGCAGAGTTGAGAGCTAGCCTAGCCCAGAGGGGCAGAGACCTGTGGCTTGTGGGTCCTCTGGAGGAGCCCACCCAGAAGGGACAGCGGAGGTTCCACAGAGAGAGCTGGGCAGGCTTTGCAGGAGAATGACTTTGCCCTGGCTAATTGGGGATGGGCAGAAATCCTGCTGGTGATTTGGTCTGTGTCTTGTCATGGAGAACTTCATCGACCATTGAGGAGGAAGGGAAGCTTACAGGTGGAAGTCAGGAGGCCTCGAGGGCTGCTTCCCTTGCCTTACCTCTGGCATTGCTGGGGGACCCCAGGTGCCAACAAGGGAGCCATTTGTATGAGATAATCTCAGGTCTCATTCTCATTATAAAGTTTCTAAGAGGTGAAAAAGCCTTAGAGATTTCACAGACGTAGAAGAAAGCAGTATTCAGCAGGTTTTTGAGTACACGTACTTTTTGTAGCATCTAAAGGTACTTTTTTTTTTTTACTAGTAAACTTGATTTTTATTTGTTTATTTAGTTTTGAGACAGGGTCTCACTGTATTGCCCAGGCTGGAATGCAGTTGTGTAATCCTGGCTTACTCCCCAGGCTCAGGTGATCCTTCCGCCTCAGCCTCCCAAGTAGCTGAGATGACAGGAGCACCCACCACACCCGGCTACTTTTTGTGTTTTTAGTAGAGAGTGTTTCGACATGTTGCCCACGCTGGTCTCAAACTCTGAGCTCCATTGATTCGCCCGCCTCTGCCTCCCAAAGTGCTGGGATTGCAGGTGTGACCCATCATGCCCGGCTGTGTTTTTTTGAGACCAGGTCTTCCTCTGTTGCCCATATTGGAGTGCAGTGGGGTGATTATAGCTCACTGCAACCTCAGACTCCTGGACTCAACCTGAGTAGCTGTGACTAATTTTTAATAACTTTTTATTTCAGTGATGGGAGTCTCACTATGTTGTCCAGGCTGGTCCTGAACTCTTGGCCTCAAGGGCTCTCACACCCCAGCCTCCCAAAGCACTGGGATCACAGGCGTGAGCCACTGCACCCATCCCTCCTGTGGTTCTTCAGAAGCACGGTGCTGGCTGGCATTCTCAGCCCTTAGAACACAAACTGCTAATTTATCCTAATAGAATGTTGCAGTGTTAGCAGGCAAACAAGACAGAAGAAGTTTTGAACTTAAAAAGGAGCAGGGGCTGGGTGCGGTGGCTCACACGTGCAATCCTAGCACTTTGGGAAGTTGAGGCGGGTGGATCACTTCAGCCCAGAAGTTTGAGGCCAGCCTGGGCAACATGGTAAAACCCCACCTCTACCAAATAAACAAAACTTAGCTGGGCATGGTAGTGCATGCCGGTAGTCCCAGCCATTTGGGAAGCTAACGTGGGAGAATCTCTTGAGCCTGGGAGGCTGAGGCTGTAGTGAGTGAAGATCGCGCCACTGCACTCCACCCTGTCTCAAAAAAACAAAAAAAGAGCAAGAACAACTCAGGACCTTGAGTGGAGTGAAAAACTCGTTGGCCCTGATTTGTGTCCCTCTGACTTCACTTTGAAGCTGAAACCTCGCTTCCTGCTGCAGATTTATCTCCAGCACTTTAACGTCAGTGGTCAGCTTGCCCGTGGGCTCAGTCGGGTGGAATCAAGGAAGGTCAGGGAGAGGAAAGTAACCAGGCAAGGGTCGGCAGAGAGGAGATGAACGTGCTTCGCGTGCCTGTGTGTGAGGCCAGTGGGTCGCCTGAGACCGGGACCGGGCCGTGCGCACTGAGAGAGGAACGGGCAGGAAGGGAGCAAGTGGGCGGCCAGCTACCAAGAAGGGGAGACGCTGTGAGTGGGAAAGGGGCCCGAGGGCAGATCCCCGGCACAGCTCCCGGTTTGAGTTGTACCCCAAGGCCTCCCAGGTGCGGGTGTGTGTCTGAGGCCTGGGGCTGGGCACAGCCGTGCCAGTGGGAAGAGAAACCGCCTTAGGTGTCAAGCTGGCATCTCTGCATCCCAGCACCGTGGCTGTTCCTGACTGTTCGTGACTGTTCATGACTGCGTTCATCTGTTCTTTCTGATGTTTCAGTAATGATCTGGGATGACTTGAAGAAGAAGACTGTTATTGAAATAGAATTTTCTACAGAAGTCAAGGCAGTCAAACTGCGGCGAGATAGGTGGGTTTGATGTCAGTAACTTTTTAAAGTGGAATTTCACTTTCTCTAAAGATGGCTGAAATGCTTTTCTATTTCTAGCAGAAAAATGGTTAGGAAATTATGTATTAAAATGTTGGCCCTGGTTTTTATGACCCAAAGGATATAAGGATTATTTATATTGCTGCAAGAAAGGCAGCGAATTGTATTTGTTTTCGGGGCTGCACTGGAGGTAAGTAGGTGGTGGGCGTGGATGGCACGCGCCACAGTGGCCCAGGCAGTGGGTCTCACCGTGGTGAGTTCTGTCCCGTTCTGACAGGTGCAGAGCTGAAGACATGAGTTTTGAGCCTTGAATTACCTTGCATTTAGCCCATGCTTTGCCAAATGCTGCCTCTCAATAAAGGTTTTCGATTTGAGGGTAAAGGAAAACTGAATTTTCTGTGTTGAAAGTAGCAGGTGGCTCTGTCAGCCATGGCCTCAGGGGCAGTTAGGGGGAATATGGAAGTTTGTCCTAGTACATTGAGCAAAATAGCGCAGAGTTCGTTCATTCGAGTTTTTATTTAATATGATTTCCATATTTTACTCTAAGATTTCCATCTCTGTCGGCTGTGGGAGGACAGTGGCCAAGCAAGTTGGATGTAAACAGAGGTCATTCCACCTCCCTGCTTTTTTTTGTTTTTGTTTCTTTTGGTTTTTTTTTTTTTTTTTTTTTTTTGAGATAGTCTTGCTCTGTTGCCAGGCTGGAGTGCAGTGGCACAGTCTCAGCTCACTGCAAGCTCTGCCTCCAGGGTTCAAGCAATTCTGGCCTCAGCCTCCCAAGTAGCTGGGACTACAGGTGCACGCCACCATGCCCGGCTTATTTTTGTTTTGTTTTGTTTTGTTTTAATTTTTATTTTTATTATTATTTTTTGAGACAGAGTCTCTCTCTGTTACTCAGGCTGGAGTGCAGTGGCGTGATCTCGGCTTACTGCAAGCTCCACCTCTCGGGTTCAAGCAATTCTTGCCTCAGCCTCCCGATTAGCTGGGACTGCAGGCTCCCGCCACAATGCCTGGCTGATTTTTTTGTATTTTTAGTAGAGACAGGGTTTCACTGTGTTAGCCAGCATAGTCTCCATCTCCTGACCCGGTGATCTGCCTGCCTCGGCCTCCCAAAGTGCTGGGATTACAGGTGTGAGCCACCGTGTCCGGCTGATTTTTGTATTTTTAGTAGAGACAAGGTTTCACCACATTGGCCGGGATGGTCTCAATCTCTTGACCTCATGATCCGTGCGCCTCGGCCTCCCAAAGTGCTGGGATTACAGGCATGAGCCACTGCACCCGGCCAGCTTTCCTGCATTTTTGTGTGGGTTTGTCATTTTAATAACGTCAGTATTTAAAGGCCCTTAGTAATGTAAATGTCGCCGGGCACCGTGGCTCATGCCTGTAATCCCGGCCCTTTGGGAGGCCGAGGCGGGCGGATCATGAGGTCAGGAGTTAGAGACCAGCCTGTACCCCATCTCTACTAAAAATACAAAAATTAGCTGGGCATGGGGGTGCGCCTGTAATCCCAGCTACTTGGGAGACTGAGGCAGGAGAATTGCTTGAACTCAAGGGGGTGGAGGTTGCAGTGAGCCGCGGTCGTGCCACTACACTCCAGCCTGAGCAACAAAGTAAGACTCTGTCTATTAAAAAAATAATAATAATAATAATGCAAACGCTTGAGCCAGATCTAGGAACTTCTGCTTTCAGACTTTTCTTATTTTTTTCCAGACACAGTAGCATAAAAATATCGCTTCTGCTATGTGTTTTGCTGGGTTCTGAACCTAGACGAAATGTTTGATGATGTCTCTGTGAACCTCAGCGACGTCTCTTGGGCTGGCCTTCACCCAGGCGAGAAGCACTCCCTCGGCAGAGCCAGCCTGCGTGCGCTCGCCTCCAGGCCTGGCGCTGGTTCCTGCCTCCCGAGGTTTTTCTTCAGGAATGCTCCTTTTCCGTGTGGTGTTTCCAGTGTCTCTCAGTTTCAGTATGAGCAGACCAGGAGCATAAAATGTTTGGGTTTGACTTTAGAGGAAAGCGGTTCTGATCATGTTTTTCTTTGCAGAATTGTGGTGGTTTTGGACTCCATGATTAAGGTGTTCACATTCACACACAATCCCCATCAGCTGCACGTCTTCGAAACCTGCTACAACCCCAAAGGTGAGGAACTGAGCAGACGGGGGCGACGCCTGTCCTGGGCACTCCCTTCTCCGAGCAGGTCTCTTTCTGAGCAGGGTGCCTTGGCGAGAGCAGTCCTGAGCACAGAGGGGCCTCCAGAGGAGATTGACCTTCCAGGGCCTACAGCTCAGCACCCCAAAACTACCTTCTGACCAGAGTCACAGAGTGGGGGCCTGTCCCCTCCCACCCAGTGATTGTGGCCTCTCAGGACCTCCACAGTGAACCAGGAACCTATGTTTTCACCACATTGGGAGCCACTGAGTTCTGGGCTCAAGCATTTCCTTCCCTTGTCTTCTGAATTGGAGGATGGATTGTGTTTGACTTTGTCATTTGTTGTACCATCTTCATATCTCTTTAAATTTTGAGGTTTTGCCCCTGGCTTTGTTGGGGTAAAATTTACATAAAACTCACTCTTTTTAAGAACACCATTCTTGGCTGGGTGCGGTGGCTCACGCCTGTAATCCCAGCACTTTTGGGAGGCCGAGGTGGGCGGATCACGAGGTCAGGAGATCGAGACCGTCCTGGCTAACACAGTGAAACCCCGTCTCTACTAAAAATACAAAAAAAATTAGCCAGGCGTGGTGGCGGGCGCCTATGGTCCCAGCTACTCGGGAGGCTGAGGCAGGAGAATGGCGGGAACCCGGGAGGCGGAGCTTGCAGTGAGCCGAGATCACGCCACTGCACTACAGCCTGGGCGACAGAGGTAGACTCTGTCTCAAAAAATAAATAAATATAAATAAATAAATAAATACCGTTTGTGGCCAGGTGTAGTGGCTCAAGCCTGTAATCCCAGCACTTTTGGAGGCCGAGGCGGCAGATCACAAGGTCAGGAGTTTGAGACCATCCTGGCTAACATAGTGAAATCCTGTCTCTACTGAAAATACAAAAAACTAGCCAGGCGTGGTGGCAGGCGCCTGTAGTCCTAGCTACTCGGGAGACTGAGGCAAGAGAATCACTTGAACCCAGGAGGTAGAGGTTGCAGTGAGCCGAGATTGCGCCACAGCACTCCAGCCTGGGCAACAGTGAGACTCCAAAGAAAAAAAGAACCGTCTCATCTCCTGGAAAACTTTCTTGGGGCAGTCCCCTCCCCACTCAACCATCGGGTTTTGTTTTTTACATGTATTTGTCCTCTGTGTGTGTGGTTTTTTTACATGTATTTGATGTCTGTGTGTGTGTTTTTTACATGTATTTGTCTTGTGTGTGTGTCTATGTGGTTTTTACATGTATTTGTCCTCTGTGTGTGTGTGACTTTATTGGTCTCTGGCCATTTTTGGCTGTTACGAAGGAGTGCCGCGCATGTTTCCATAGTAGCCATTGTGTGGGTCGTTTTGTTTCCCTTGCATTGACACTGAGGGTTCGGCTGCCGGGTCGTAGCCATGTCGTGGTTGTGTCTGACTCTGTAAAATGCGGCCATTTATTTTCCAGAGTGGCCGTGTGTCCTCTTGCATCTCATCCTTGATTTATGAGTGTTCCAGCATTGTTGGTCTCTCTAGCTGTAGCCGTTCCGTGCGTGTGTGATGATATCTCACTGGTAATGGCATCTCCTTGTGGTTGTAGTTTGCATTTCTCTGAGAACTGGCGGTGGCAACATCTTTCCCTGTGGTCTGTGGTTCTTGCCTTTTGAGATCTTTTGGGAAATGCCCCAGATGGTAAAGTGATCGGTTTCGCATTGCGTTTTCGGTAGCACGTACCATGACGGACAGACGGTTGGTAAAGTGATCAGTTTCGCATTGCGTTTTCGGTAGCGCGTACCATGACGGACGGACGGTTGGTAGAGTTATTCAGCGCATGTCTTGATTATGAGGAAGTCTCATGTGAGGTAGCTTTGCTTAGCCCTCTCATACTCTTTACAATGAAAAGTCTAAATTGAATTTGTGGTTCTGATATAAATGCTATAAGTCTATTTTTTCGGAGAACTCGGGGGCAGAAAGTGGACTTTGGCTGCGAGAAATCAAAGGCAGTTCTTGATTGGTGTCCTCTGTCTCCACGCAGGCCTCTGTGTCCTTTGTCCCAATAGTAATAACTCCCTCCTGGCCTTCCCGGGCACACACACGGGCCATGTGCAGCTCGTGGACCTGGCCAGCACGGAGAAGCCACCAGTGGACATTCCTGCACACGAGGGTGTCCTGAGCTGCATTGCACTCAACCTGCAGGGAACAAGAATTGCAACTGCATCTGAGAAAGTAAGTGTGCCCCTCACCTTGTTGGCGTTGTGCCTCCTGGAGCAGCAGGCTCAGCAAAATGGCCACTCCCTGTATCAAGACTCAAAAGGCAGTGGGCCTGCCCCAACCTGGAGCCCCTCAGGGGCCTGTGGACCTGGCTGGTCATGTCACAGGTCGTCTTGTGCCCAGGGACTGGTTTTATTTCCAATTATTTACAAAGCAGTGCCTTGTAAAATATGATAAACCAAAGAAACAGGGCCAGGGGCAGTGGCTCACACCTGTAATCCCAGCAATTTGGGAGGCCAAGGCGGGCGGATCACTTGAGGTCAGGAGTTTGAGACCAGCCTGGCCAAGATGGTGAAATCCCGTCTCTACTGAAAATACAAAAATTAACCAGGCATAGTGGTGTGTGCCTCTGATCCCAGCTACTGAGAAGGCTAAGGCAGGAGAATCACTTGAACCCAGGAGGTGGAGGTTGCAGTGAGCCGAGATCACACCACTGCACTCTAGCCCAGGTGACAGAGTGAGACTCCGTCTCAAAAAAAAAAAAGAAACAAAAATACATACACATCCAA